GAAAAATCATTTTTACTACGGAAAACATGTTTCTTTTGTTTTTTAAATTGTAATAAAAACATTGCTTTATGCTCAGCAACATTTATGTTTATAAAATAAAAAATATTTTATTGAATTGAACATGAAAGTTCAATTTTCAAAAGATTTCGTCATCGCAAATCCTCGAATTCAACGGAGATAAATAACATTGTCAATTGAAAGAGACAATGCTTCAACCTAATCAGCCCTAACAGCCTTTGTTTTGGATTGTCGGAGAGGCAGTTTGGATTCCGGAAAGGGAGATCGACGGTGGATGCAATTCGGACAGTGGTCGAGAGAGCCGAGAAGGCGTCCAAACAGAAGCGGAGAGGAGATTGATATTGCGCCGTGATAATGATCGACGTCAAGAATGCGTTCAACAGCGAAGCTGGAAAGCCATTGCCAAAGCGCTGAATAGAATTAGGGTCCCTGGCTACCTGTGTAGGATTCTGAGGAGTTATTTCCAGAACCTGGTTCTGGTCTACGAGACAGACATGGGACAGGGATCGATTAGAATCACAGCGGGAGTTCCACAAGGCTCCATCCTTGGTCCAACGCACACCTTTGCCTCGAAGCTCGTGTTGAAATACCTGGGAGTGATGATCGATGACCGGCTAAACTTCAACATACACGTCGAATATGCCTGTGAGAATGTTTCGAAGGCCATCAACACAATAGCTAGAATCATGCGGAACAACTCTATTCCCAGCAATATCAAGAGGCGTCTTCTGGCTAGATACTGAGGTATGGAGGTTCAGCCTGGTTTGCAGCACTGGAAACGAAGAAGAACCAAAGGAAACGGAGGTGTACGTTGCGCCTCATGGACATGCGAGTCGTGAGTGCGTACAGAACCATCTCATCGGAATGCGCTATCGCCGGAATGATCCCTACCAGCATGACCCGGTGGAGGACAGCGAGTGCTACAGTCGGAGAGAAGCCGGTAGAGTACGGAAAGTGGTGAAAGCGGAGTCTTTGGCAAAGTGGCAATAGGAGTGGAACACGGTGGATAACGGTAGATGGACACATCGATTATTTCCGATTCTTTCGACCTAGGTGAACATAAAGCATGGAGAAGTCAACCACTACCTGACGCAGTTTCTGTCTGGTCACGGCTGCCTTAGGAAATACCTGCATCGGTTCGGACACGCAGCGTCACCCCTCTGTCCGGAGTGTGGCAACGTAGATGAAACACCGGAGCATGTGGAGAAAGTCGTCGATGAAATGTGTCCAGAGGAAAGTACTTGGAATGGAGAAAGGAGCAGCGATCTTGCGACGCCAGCTAGCACTGAGAGTATAAGAAGTGCCAGCCCCCTCGAAGTAGTCGCTTCAGCGTGGTCCCGGGGGATACAGGCAGAGGAGAGAGTAAGGGATGGGCTTTAGTTGAGCTGCACTAGGCAACTAGTGGATTCCACTCCGTGCCAACGTAAATACAGGTCTGGCTTTTTGACCCCCCTCTGCTTTGAAAGTTGATACATATTTCATTATCGTCAAAGGAAAATTGATTCGATAGTTCTAATTAGTTGATGGTTTAAAAGCGTTTTTACAAATAATAGCCATATGTAGGATAAGATCTGGTAAAACGAACCCCGGTGTTATATGACCAACAGCGTGTTTTCTCTTACTATTAAAAGACTAATTGATATAAACAATTTCCCAGATGACTGTTCTGCAGCTCTTCTAGTGATTGTGGTGAGAAAAATTTGTTTTGCAAAACACATAAATAAGCGCTGATGGTCATATGATCCCATAGCATCCCGTACCCTATGAGAATTTCATTATTCTGTAATAATTTTGATCACAAAAATAATGGAATTTTTTTTCCCGATTTTGTCAGTTTCCCATTTTTGTCAGCCTAAAATTTAAGAAGGGGCTGACAAATTCGGGAAAGCACTGTGTATGCATTACTATCGTTGACATACACATATTTTGTCTGTATGAACCTTGTTGCAAATCATTTATGGATGTTCTTATCAACACCATTAATTTTAGTACCGTAAAACGGGGTAAAGTTGATCATTGAGGTGAACTTGATCGCTACACCGCTCAATTTTTGATTCTCGACAATATTCATGATATTTGTATGAGATGATTTGTCTAGTATGTCACTAAGTAGATTTAAATAGAACTCTTTTTTTCTACTGCTCTAAATGTACAATTTTGAGGAAGTATTAGTAGTAAAATTTCAGAGTTGGTTGGAAATGCTATCATGAAGCTTTAGTGTGATAATTTATTAGCTAGAGAATGATATTTAGAAGAGGGTAGGTGGATAGTTCCGTTAGAGTACGGCAGTATGAAAATTGAATAGAAGTTGAAAATGAGCGAAGGGCCATTAATGCGACAGTTTTTAAAGTTAGACGCACATCTTTTGCCTAACCCGTACGATGTACGCGGAGACTTGAAGTATGTCTCCAAGTCTACAGGCAAAAAATGTGCGTCCTTCTTTTGCTCATAAACTGACTGCGGCTGTGGAATAGTTCTAGTGACGTTTTCATCACTACACGGCGAATGAGAACGACTCAAATTTGAGTTTAGTTCACTCATAATCGCCAAAAGTGCAGGAACTCAGCGATGAGTAAAATTTGTCCCATGGTTTCCTGTGGAAAACCTTAAAAATATGCCGGAAAATGAGGAAATTGACGAAAATTTTATTCAGTCTCGGAGTAGTACCAATAGACTGAGTGAATCCAATCTTTACTTTTCTCAAATTCACGATTTTTTCCCTGGAAAATCCTGGAAAAACCTGGGAAAACATGAGGCAAATTAACTCATCGCTGAGTTCCTGCACTTTTGGCGATTATGAGTGAACTAAACTCAAATTTGAGTCGTTCTCATTCGCCGTGTACCTAAAGCCCCACGTTGCGAGAGCATTTCCAGTCGATGGTGTGTTATAATGCAATTCTTCTTTACCCAATTGTGTTGCTCCTCTCGTCATGACCAACTTGGTCGCTAATCGCTAACTTCGCGTATGAAGTAACATAAAAACACTTTGAATGTAACAACTCAAGGCGGGAGTAACCGTCAACAATGCTGATGATGGTACAGCACGCAACAACCACCCTACTGCCTTCTCTCTGAGATGACCAAGTTGGTCATGACGAGAGGAGTAACACAATAGTTGGGTAAAGAAGAATTGCATTATAACACACCATCGACTGGAAATGCTCTCGCAACGTGGGGCTTTAGGTAGTGATGAAAACGCCGCTAGAACTATTCCACAGCCGCTGTCAGTTTATGAGCAAAAGAGGGACGCACATTTTTGCCTGTAGACTTGGAGACATACTTCAAGTCTCCGCGTACATCGTACGGGTTAGGCAAAAATGTGCGTCTATCTTTAAAAACTGTCGCATTAATGGCCCTTCGCTCATTTTCAACTTCTATTCAATTTTCATACTGCCGTACTCTAACGGAACTATCCACCTACCCTCTTCTTAATATCATTCTCTAGCTAATAAATTATCACACTAAAGCTTCATGTTAGCATTTCCAACCAACTCTGAAAAATCGCTAGCTTCGCGTATGAAGTAACATAAAAACACTTTGAAAGTAAAATTTCGTTTATTTCTGTTGATTATAATAGCACATTGATTTAATATATCAATTGAATAGCCTACCTGGCTCTTGAGGAAGTGATGTGCTATGCATCTTTTAACTGCTTCTTAAATTTATTCTGCTTTAAATCTTGATTTAAAACTTAAAATGAAAGACCTTGGGCTCGAAAAAAAATCGTTGTGCTCAAAAAAGAAAGCTCTTTCAGATTATGTATTTAAAAATAAACTAAACACGCAATTTATAAACTAAATTCATACATTAGAAAAAAAATTGCAAAAACAGACGTGAGACGTATTTATTTGTGTGTCCAATATTTCGTTAAAAAAATCAGGCTTATCCGTAAAAAGTGATCAACTTCCCCCTGTTTTACGGTACCATAATTAGCAGGGAGCCTTTGCAGTTATTACCCTCAAGTGAGTGATGTCAATCATGTCACGAAAATAGATACAAAATGATGACTTTTAAACGGACCATTAATTAGTCATCGATTGTAAAAAGGTGCAAATGAGGTATGTAAACATTGATTTCCGTTTTTAGACACAATGTTCGGCTCTTTGTTGAAATCAGATTCGTCATCAGTCGCTGGTTGGAATGCAACCTCATATAATCTACTGAATACCATTCGATAATCAAGACGGTTTTGCGGGTTTTCTTGCAAATTAACTGGCTTGATCATACCCAAGTATGCACTAAGAAGTAGGAAGGCTAAATTGACATAGTTGTAACTGCTTTTTAGTTGGTACTCAATTAGTGCACTCAAAATTAAAAAGCATTTTAACATGGAAACACTCACGAGCGTATGATCACTGTATAGAGTATACAAATCTCTGTAATTTAGTTTTGAGCAGAAAACATTTAAACTGTCAACACAAGTTTGCTATTATGTCAATTGTCAACAGCCAGATATAGACGCGTGGCTTTACTTTGCTTTTACAGAGCTATCTCGGTTTTGACAACCTCCTTTCTTGTAAATCGTTTTTTACTCTTCTTCAAACCCCTATCAGTTTTTCAGTGGACTTATTGTACCAAAGGTTATGATGGAATCAAGCTTATGTGATAGAAGAAAAAGCATCTGATGTGGAGAGGGGCTGCCAAAATCGAGAAAGCACTGTAGTTCACTCATTCGTTGGGATTGCGAAAAAAAAACCGCGATGGGACCCAAAGGTTGAATGTAGGTATTTACTTTATAAATCAAGGCACTGGTATTTTTGGAAAACACCCGAAGTACAAAGTGTATGTTATCACCGACGATCATAGTGGGAATTTCCATTGTGAACTTTGCAAATATTTCAAAATCATTGACTGTGACGCAAATGGCTCTACAAATTTCGAAGACATATAAGGTTTCAATTTCGCTAGATTGTCCAATATTCAAAGTGTGAATCAGCATTTGAGTTCAACGGCTATTTCGGCTTCATTCACAATTTTCTCACCTCTTCGGTTCCTTTTGCGACAACCTTGAGTGAAACGATATCTGTGTGTCTCGTGCGCCTTCTCCCGTCAATATCTTCCCGAGTGGGGTAGTCCAGCACGTTGGTAGTCAACGCACTTAATCACTGCCCAATTAAGTTCGAAAGCTCTATCACTGCCTCAATCAGCCTGTAATTCCTCCAACGACTCAATTCAATTAAGTTCCGAGCAGTTCTGAACCCAATTATGCGTTTCTTCTTCACCGATTTATCACTCTGTTATGCCATTAGGTAACACGGCGCACTTTAGTAGATATCACTTCACTCGCATTGTTCTACAAATGGAGAAACTTTGTTTAGCGAAGTTGTTTACGTTATGTTAACGTCTTGTTTTTTTCACACGACGCGGAAGATCACCACTTTTGCTCTCATTCTCCACTGCTGCATCAGCGCGGTTCGCGAACAATTTAAATTAATTTATTTTATGGTGGAGCTACTGCGGGCCTCTACCGAGAAATATACTCGATTAATTTAGACGACACTCGGGGACGGACCACGGCAACGCGACCACATTCGACGGCGTCCAGAACTCGAATGGTACGGAAACCGGCCGGTACTAACCAGCTCACTGCCAACCGAAATGGAAGTCCTGTGCTGTTCAGCGACGACCGGCCTTTGTGTTGAGGTGGTTGACGGTGTGTCTTTGCCTTATCAGTCTGACGATCTGTGGGTTCAGATCTCTCTATTTGGACAATCGAGAGATGAGATGTGCCCAGATAGTAGAAGGGTGTCACACTAGTCATCAGAATTTTATAACGCATTTACAGATTACATAATGCGTTAAAAATGTTGGTTTTTCGTTTAAAGGCCATGGAGACGCACGATACGTCTCCTTAAGAACGACCAACAAGGAATGTTTTAACCTTTTGCCAACCACTGTACTCAGTTATTTAAACTCGTCCGTTTGGGATTGCCTGCAATTGCACTAGCACCACTGTAATGAACCAACCGCGACAGGTTGTTTGAATTTCAGGATCACTCGTACCGCTGCTGCTGGCGCCGTTGTCGCGTCACCTTCGTCAACAACGATGGGATACCTAGGTGAGTTGCAAAACCGGGTGTTGATAAAGTTGATTGCACTTTTACTGTGACGAACACTGGTATGTAGATATTGCTATATAAATATCCTCCGAATAGCCCGTAGATTAACGGTTGCACGGAAAGACTAGCAGCACCACTGTCACCGCTTGCTGTTGATGGTCTCGGCTGAAATGAATTAATTTCAGCATTACTCAGTTGTGTAAATAGGGTGCAGCAAAATGAATACATTGTCAATATTTTTAAGTGTCTCGGGTGTGAAACGATTTTGACGCAACGGGATAATTTTTTGATATTTCGGAAGTAGATTATCAACAATAATCGTGCACATATAGGCTTTGTCAACACAGTTTATGGGTGATAATAGATAATGTCGCGCTGTGATCGCGTGCTCGCATTCAGAAGATATTCGTACTGACGACACACATTTTTAGCAAGTGGCGCGAATAGAAATAAGCAACATGATAATGGATAATGGATACTTATATCGAATTTTATTCAGACTACACTGTTCTCTCAGCACGCCGAGGTATTCGCATGCAAAAATCTTTTCAATGACCTTGGTTTAACGACTAGGTTGTTTATCAACTGAAAAGATCTATTACCATCGCGCATCTCGAGCCAGAAAACATAAATTGCAGATAAAAGCAACTGTGATAATGAATATACAAATACTACACACGTCAGAAATAGTCGTTCGTAACGTTTGCTACAACCGATTTGCTACATTTCTAGCGGGAGCTGGTTTTTTTTTTTTCAGAGTTATCATCGCTGACACATTTTTTTTATTGGAAACGTGTTGAAGATTGTTGTTTATTGGTTCCCTCATATTTTTTCCGTTCAGTTCAGTAACAATGAAAATTTTCCACTTTGAATGTAATAAAGTGCTAAATTTAATAATAGATTAATAATAGATTATCATACACTAATGTCTTTTTTTACGCGGTTGGTGCCGCTGAGTCGCAATTTTCACGGTGCGTTGGTAACGATTTCTCGATAACGACTCGACTCGATATCAACTTGATTCGAATCACATTAGGGTAAACGCTCCTATAGTTGCGGTACGTTAGAAGCGTTAGGTTCCTATAGTTGTGTATTACTCTTTTATCTCTATCTCTATCTATATCTATCTCTATCTCTATCTATATCTATCTCTATCTATATCTACCTCTATCTCTACTTTACGCACGTCCAATCACGAGCTGGTTCGCGTTTGACAGAAAAGTGGTTCGTTTTCACCTCCATATTGTCTATTCACTATGAATACGAATGGCATCCAAATCAAAATACCTATATCTTCCATTTAAAAAACACCTGAGTGTACTAGTAGCACAGAGAACAGACGTTCAAGTTCGGTCAGAAACTTGTGTAAAATAAGTGGGAACGTCGCCATTACGTGGTGTTAGCATCTCCTGATTTTCTCTATAAATTTTTCACTTTCGACCAATTTAGCGCTAGTATCGGTAAATTTTCTGTTGGAAATTGCCACTTGGCGCTACTAGCACTTAGTGTCTAGTGTAATTTGTGCAACGCCAGCGCCATCATGTTGTCAAAGAGGGTTTTTAAGTGGGGAAGTCGCCGTTAGTGGTGCTTAAGTCGAATAGGAATCTTTACACAAGTTTTTAGAGAAATTTTGTTCGAGCCTCCATGTCTGTTCTCTGTGCTAGTAGTGAGGAGATCGAAGTGTGCTTTGCTTCTCGATGGACGCGGACATTTTCCGGTTGTCAAATTATTCGTCTATATTTTTCATAGCTTTTTTCGGATTTTTGGCCGAAGGCGCTCTGTCCTTGATAACATTTTTCTAAAGAAATTCGTGGGTGCAGGATATTTTCAGGTCCATTTTCAACGGACTTTCGGTTCATGGAGGTGTAATTTGGGTTTCCGATATTTTCGGTTCCATTGGCAGAATAATATTTTCTCTTCTGTGAGTGGAACAGTTTTTCATCATGGTTATGCTGTTGCGTTGGATAGTCAGATGACGTTCTGTTACCCGTGTTGTGGAGTTTCATTGCCAGCTTGCAATCGACAGGATGCAATTATGGGTATCAGTGATGGCATAACCATTAGGGGAAACGCTCCCATAGTTGCGGTACGTTAGAAGCGTTAGGTTCCTATAGTTGTGCATGGAGACTCAATACACCTATAGGAACCTGACGCTTCTAACGTACCGCAACTATAGGAGCGTTATTTTTCTAGCAAATTGACATTTTTCAGCTCTCATATATCAATATCACGCGTGATATAAAGGGTGATACGGTCAAAATTTGGTCAAGGTAAAACGCGTGTAAATCGGTGAAATCGTTTATTTAAAAAATCAAATTAAATTTCTTTTTCAAGTTCAATTAGTATAAAATTCAGGAAAAATATTCAGTTAGGCTTCCGCTTTTCCAAATCCGAATTGCCGGGCCTTACGCTTGACCCCTGCCATCAGATTTTGTACAGCCACCTTGTCCACCTTCTTCGCCGCAGAAAGCCAGTTTGCCTTGAACTGCTGCTCGCCCTTAGCAGTTTTTTTGGTCTTCTTTAGGTTCCGCTTGACAATAGCCCAGTATTTCTCAATTGGGCGGAGCTCTGGCGTGTTGGGAGGGTTCTTGTCCTTGGGAACCACCTGCACGTTGTTGGCGGCGTACCACTCCATGGCCTTTTTACCGTAATGGCAAGATGCCAAATCCGGCCAAAACAGTACGGAACAACCGTGTTTCTTCAGGAGAGGCAGCAGACGTTTATTCAAACACTCTTTCACGTAAATTTCTTGGTTGACAGTCCCGGAAGCTATGAAAATGCTGCTTTTCAAGCCACAGGTACAGATGGCTTGCCAAACCAGATATTTCTTTGCGAACTTTGACAGTTTCATGTGCTTGAAAACATCTGCTACCTTTCCCCTTCCTTTTGCCGTATAAAACTCCTGTCCCGGAAGCTGCTTGTAGTCGGCTTTGACGTAGGTTTCGTCGTCCATTACCACGCAGTCAAACTTCGTCAGCATCGTCGTGTACAGCCTCCGGGATCGCGCTTTGGCCGTCGTATTTTGTTTATCATCGCGATTTGGAGTCACTACCTTCTTGTAAGTCGATAGTCCGGCTCGTTTTTTGGCTCGATGCACGGTTGTAGACGATACACCCAGCTTATTTGCGGCATCTCGGAGAGAGAGGTTAGGGTTTCGCTTGAAACTACCGGCAACTCTCTTTGTCGTCTCAGCGGCTTCCGGTTTTCGATTTCCCCCCGATCCAGACTTCCTGGCTGTCGACAAACGTTCCCCAAACACTTTAATTACATTTGTAACGGTTGATTTGGCAACTTTTAGCGATTTTGCCAACTTTGCGTGCGAGTAGCTCGGATTTTCGCGATGCGCGAGCAAAATTTTGATACGCTGCTCTTCTTGCTTGGACGGCATTTTGACAACTGAAGAGTGAATTCCAAAATCAAAATAGGAGCAACATTCTACACACACACACCTTCAAAATGAGGGGTGTTCAGGTTTTTTAAATGCAAAATTGAAAGAAATACGTCAAGTTGATATTGACCAAATTTTGACCGTATCACCCTTTAGGAGCAAAATATCATACTTGATATTGATTTTACAAGCTCCTTTGATATTGTGAGACCACAGACAAACAGACATAACTCTCGCAAGTTGTTCATCGAACAAGCATTTAACGGACAATCTAAAAGTATCGTAGCGTTTGACGTTTACACACTACCGCCATCTGTTATGCGTACTACCCACCACAGTGTACTCAACAGATGGCGGTAATGTTTTAGCGACGATGTTTTACAGTGAGAAATATTCAATATGTTATGTCTGTTTGTCTGTGGCGAGACTATTCACAACGTGTAAAGTTGAAGCTGAGAGTTGAATCGATGCAAAAATAATTCCGTTGCCCCTCGTTTTCTTAGAAAGAGAAGGTATAATAATGCTATATCTCTTTTCTCTTCACCGTTGGTAGACACGAAGCAACTATAGTCGCTATATTCATAGTGTGGCGGATACACGGTAAGAAAAAAGTCCACATCGGCCAGTTAACTTTGACCTACTTTTGACTAGTTTGTCTCCTTTTCTCCTACTAATGTTGTCAAAAACGAAGGAGCAAAACCACCCAACAGGGGTAGTAAAGTGTGGGAACCCAACGTTGAGTATAATCATATTTACCTACTGTTGGGTACAACTAACTTACTTTTGGTTAAAAAGCCAGTGGAAAATTCCATACGAACTGCACACAAGTAAATGAAATTTACTTTGACCCGCTATACCTAATGTTGGGTTCCTGCACTATAGTGCCTAGATGAGGGAAAAGAACCTAATTTTGGGTACTTTTTTCTAACCGTGTAGAATTTCGATCTATAAAAGAGCGACCAACAATTGAAAAGGTACTATCAACTTCTATAAACAAAACGTTGATTATTCTTTCCTCGCCAATCAAACGCAAATTACCGGCATCATCGGATAGGGGAAACTTTCCCCAACCCAAAGATGGTGTTAGTTTGCGTAGGCGAGCCTTGAGTCACGAGAAAAGGGTTTCCGAGGTTTTGTTCGCAATAGCTGATGTGCTCTTTTC